GAGAAAGCCTTAAATTCCGTTACTCCTAGGCATTCAATTAATAAACATCGGTCATTCTTAAGTAAATATTAAACTACTTCCAATATTTATGCATGTCATGTTCCACCAAAGCAAGAATTAGGCGATGAGTTGAGAAATGGTTTTAATTTAATTTAGGGCGCATGGAGTGAAGAGCAAATTAATTAATTAATTAATTGAAATTAATTTCAGTAGATCTGTATCAAGACAAATTCAGTATATGTTGCTGAGTGAAATAGCTATGGGCGAATGGCTGTTCCTTTTTCCTTAACACCTCTATCAAAACTAGGCCCATAAATCATGGAGGGGGATCAATATCCACATAACAATAAACCAAAAATTTTATAGATTGAGGGCCATAATCGGTATGATAGCACCATTGACAAGATCTTTACCTGGCAAAATGGATACAAAAAATCGTTTTTAGACTATTGTCTAGAAAACCAGATGATTTTTTGCGTACTTGGCTTCGAATAACTACTATGTCAAACGCCTTCCATTTGTTGTTACACATCGTCACAAATAAATAAATAAATGAAGCGATTAATAAATTAATTAAACACAAATGAAATATTATCTTTTTTCACTCGTCAGGTCACAACCTGGTTCGAAATATGAAACGCATTTATTTATCTTGATGTCTTTCTGTTTTGCAAGTTCAGCTCACGCCAACATTTGCTCAAAATTGATGACACGTTTGGCGATTTTGGTCAGCATTGGGAATTCTTCAATGTGTTGAACATTTGTTCCCGTCACAAAAATTAATTCATCTGGGTTTGGAAATTGATACATGTCAAGTTTGTATTCTGACGAAAAGCTAATTAAACCTAAGATTTTGCTGATAGGAAGGGCCAATAAATCTTAAAAGTCACTTCAAATGAAATGCAATTCTTTCAGTGCCGTCTTACCGCTCTGTTACCAGCGTTCCCACGATGCAATGATTGGCATAAAAAATGCAGCAACTTTTCTTTTGTATAAAGACCATTTGTTTTTATGTCATTTAAATTTTGAATCACTTTATATTTATTTCTTTACGATATGGCTGATTAAGCAGTAATATTCTTTAGCTGAGCACGGTAAGCTCAGACGGAAGGCATACTGGCTGCGGGAAAGCCAGCATATGATTATACACCTATAGTTGTAGTAAAGTTATTTTGGTTACGATTAGATCACACAACTTTATAAACAGACGTCAAAATATGTAAGATCTATACAGTTTGATTTGATGTTTAGTATATTTATAAATGACTTATACACGTTTTTAGATTTTACCTTATTAAATTGAGATCTCCATCTTAGAATTACTTGATCACACTTCACATGTTATCATCACGGAAGTACTATTTCATTTATCAATATTACTTACATATACAGTGTCAAATTTTACAATATACAAATACATGTATAGATTATTTAGTATGTATACACATAAATTTTTTGTACTGTTTGTAATTGTAGAAATCATGCTTGTTGTGATGCCTGAAAGGGCCCTGATTTGGAAATAAAGAATCTTATCTACCATACTATCATCATCAATAAATAAATAAATAAATAAATAAATAAATAAATAAATAAATAGTGTATTCCATCTCATGTTCTCATTAATGTTAATATGTATCCAACAGTAGATAATTAACTATCTTTAGTAAGAAAACCTTTTTTATACTAAGCACTTTAAGTTTAAACTCGGCACTGCATAAGTACAACCTCGTTATATAAAACGAGTACTTTCATCACGTAGGCGTTAAACTGCAGGGGGGGGGGGGGGGCAGTAGGGTAATGAGACACAGTTACTCTCTGTATTGTTAATTATTAGTCATGCACCATTGTTTACGAATTAGAGCAAACATTCCTGGTAATTTATTATTTATATTAACCTTAAACTAGATGTGTTGCGTCTCAATATAAATATATGCACTATACATGTAAATTATATTCTTTTAGAACTTGAAAAGCTACTTACTTTCATGCGAATCAATTCAATTATTTGGAAGAGAACAATTTAAATGTTATCATTCATAGATTATAAACCCTACAGGTCAATAGAATAAGAAAGACATTTGAACTTTTTCTCTAGATATTTGGTTCATCTGTTCATTTTAATCACAGGCTTCTATAGCAGTAAATTTTAGTATGTTGTAACAAAGCAAGAGAGGAATGTGCTAGAATGGAGTTCCTAATCCGATAGTCTATTGCGGGGCAAATGACCTTGGCTGTGTAAAGATATGCATTGATAAAACTGCCGAATCCTTAAATAAGTTCAGTAAAGTTAACTATAGGGTCGTTTCCAGATGTGATGGGAAGTTCGATCAGGAAAAAGATCGCAAAAGTAATTAACTCAGTTACCAAGCATAATTAATCTAGTTACAACAGAGGATATTTTATATATACAATTCGTCTGGCAGTAAGCTAAAATTTTTAAAAGCGGGCTTAAAAACATAGTGAACTGCCAACTTGATTTAATATTATCATTTATAGTAGTAGTAGTATCATTGATATATATTGTGGGGGTCACGGCTGGTTTTGTGAGTAGAGTGTTAAGCTACCCCCACGTTTGTGGCGGCGTGCATATTACATGAGTAACTATGCACGTTTGGCGGATTTAGCTTAACACACTTCATCTCGACTAGCGCCGCTGTGAACAGGGCGCAGCTGCAACATAATTATTTTGACAACTGGTCAATGGAAAACAATTGACAGAACATTGATTAATTGAAATATTGTTTGGCTTAAACATAAACTTACTACAATTCATTGAATTGAGTGAGTATTGATTGATTGAACATTGATTGATTGAACATTGATTGATTGAATATTGAAACATTGATTGATTGAACATTGATTGATTGAATATTGATTGATTGATTGAATATTGATTGATATTATTGAAAATGGATTGATTCATTGGACTGAAACTTTTTGATTGATTCAACTGAATATTCATTAATTGATTGGATATTCATTAATTGAATTGATAAATTTATTGATTGATTGATTGATTGAACTTGATATTGATTGATTCAATTGAATATTGATTGATTGATTGAATATTGTTTTATAAGGCTGGCGCACCGCAAAATTTGGAAAGCAAACGCCAGTCTTATAGTGTAAAAAATGACATGTGTTCAGTTAATATTGATTGATTGATTGATTGTTTGCTTTGATTGGAGGTGTGCCAAAAACCAATTGGGTCGGCACCCACTGAACACATGTATCTTAAATAATTGATCTGCAACCAGCCGTGGCCATATGATGCCAAATTTAATAAATAAATAATTAAGAAATGGTGTCACTTGTTTTTTAGTGGTAGTCTGTGATAATCGGATTTATGTAGTGAATGCGTTATAAATCCATTTATCACAGCGCCCCACGTGGAAGGATGCGCGCGCAATATATGCGCAAGCATTTGTACATTCCATTCTCACACCATTTCCAAATGTTGCACGTTTAGGGTTTGCTGTGAATTTTTAAGAAAATTTACCCGCCCTTCCACACCCCATATTACTTTGAGTTGTTTTCTGCGCCGAGTTCTTTTCATTTCAGAGAAAGAGGCCTAAGGAGCCAAGCTGTCAATCATTCTAAGACCTTGCCTTAGTCATGACCGGCCAAAGCTGCCATTCCTTGCCATACAGTGATGAATGCTATCGTGATGGACACTTCCAAGTACCAGAAGGAAGGACTTCGCTCACCCAATCGTATTGGCTTATTGACTCTAAACAGGGTGAAGCTGCAACACAATAACTATCGATCAAGGACTAGATAACACCCATCGTCACGGCTGGTCATCTTATTATGCGGACAGTATTGTCTCTGTAATTAACAGAGCGAAGAGCCAGTTGGAGAGATACATCGAATAGCGCTTAACACAAATCATCTTGACACGCGTCGCTGTTAACAGGGCGCAGCTGCAACTTGATTATGTGGATGACTTATCGATGGAAAACAATTAATTGACTTGATAATTAACACAGAACATTGATTAATTTATTGAAATATTGTTTGGCTTAAACATAAACTTACTACAATTCATTGAATTGAGTGAGTATTGATTGATTGAACATTGATTGATTGAACATTGATTGATTGAATATTGAAACATTGATTGATTGAACATTGATTGATTGAATATTGATTGATTGATTGAATATTGATTGATATTATTGAAAATGGATTGATTCATTGGACTGAAACTTTTTGATTGATTCAACTGAATATTCATTAATTGATTGGATATTCATTAATTGAATTGATAAATTTATTGATTGATTGATTGATTGAACTTGATATTGATTGATTCAATTGAATATTGATTGATTGATTGAATATTGTTTTATAAGGCTGGCGCACCGCAAAATTTGGAAAGCAAACGCCAGTCTTATAGTGTAAAAAATGACATGTGTTCAGTTAATATTGATTGATTGATTGATTGTTTGCTTTGATTGGAGGTGTGCCAAAAACCAATTGGGTCGGCACCCACTGAACACATGTATCTTAAATAATTGATCTGCAACCAGCCGTGGCCATATGATGCCAAATTTAATAAATAAATAATTAAGAAATGGTGTCACTTGTTTTTTAGTGGTAGTCTGTGATAAATAGGTATTTGGAAGTAAACTATTGGTGGAATTTTGTTGATATTTCTGTCTGGGACATAATTTTTCGGACTTCAATGTTTGAATACAAATAAAATGCTCTGATACAATTCCATTCCAATAAGGAATTCTTCTCAGAAGAATAGATGTGTAGGAGATAGGAATGAAAGATGATCCTGTGCAGGATGAGATCGCGTGTGTTTGTGTCAACATGTTGGACGGTCTTTTAGATTACCACTTTCTATACCAATCAATTTTCGCCTAGGTTTAGTTTGTTCTCTGACACTTCAACAGAAAATGTGAGTCTTTATATTCAGATTAAGAATTTTGACGTTCGATACCTGATGTAACTTGACCACCTGGACTATTGAACTATACTAAGCAGTAAGTGACAGTATTTTTTCCATTAATTACTTTAAATCAACTGAAAACATCCTTTTAACCATTTTGAAGCCACTCGACGATTGTATCCGATCCACTGCAAAAGAAAAAAACCCAGTTACTATAGTGTCATTAGATGTAAGTTGTGTATGTGTCTATATATTTTTAAGCGGAGGGTATATGATGAAGGTGTCCGTCCTTCCGTCCGTCCATAACACTTGGAGGTACAAATCTCTTATGCGCAACTCCTCCTCTACCACTGATAAATTTAATGAAATTTTCACAGAATCTTTATAACAAAGTGCCATTGTGACTTCCTACTCTATTTTTCGATCGGACAGATATTTGAGGTTTCCGCGAGCAAAACATGGGCACTGTCATTTTTTCTGTAACTTGAGGGTACCTATCTCTTATCCGCAACTCCTCCTTTATTGCTGGATAAAATTTGATGAGACTTTCATAGAAACTTTATTACATAGAGCCATTGTGACCTTTTATATTTCGTGTCGATCAGACCGATATTTGGATTTCCCATAGCAAAACCTGAACCCTACTGTTCTTTCTATGATATTTGGGGTACCCATCTCTTTCTCTGTAACCCCTCTTTACCAATTAATAAAATTTAATGAGGTTTACACAGAATCTTTAAATTATATTGTCATTGTGCACTTTCTATTTTATGTTCTAATTGGACAGATATCTGGGGTTTCTCGTAGCCAAAAAATGACTGCCATTATACTCATATGGGAGGTGGAAAATCATTTTGTGAGCTCAATGCGCAGTTACTCTAGTTCCTTTATATTACTGATTCTTCAATCATACTGTCAAAAATTACTTTTCATTTATCTAAAATTCTATCTACATGTAGTGTGCGATATCTAGAAAATGAACGTAAAACAAAATGAAATTTTGATGAGATATCACAACTAGGTACGTAAATCATTATACTAGTTTAAATTTATAATAGTTTGTTCAAAAGCATTACCAAGAACAGATAATTTCCCAAAAATTACTCAGCAATTACTACCTAATTTGTGTTTTCTGAGGACAGGGTTAGATCCTCTGCCCTCGTGTACAGTTTCAGTCAAGGGTCCTTGTGATTCCGTCTGACCAGCATTAAAATAAACGTCTTCCAACTTGTTGCAAGACTTCTTTGATGTAGTACGATGATGGCTTCTATGAGAACGATGTGATCGATGCGATCTCATAGAGTTCGTATCATTTGTGTCCCTCGATGATCTTTGTGATCTAATAGAAGCCGTGTCGTTTGTATCAAGTGAAATATTTCTTTCCGCTAACCTTGACGAAGGTTGTGTATATGCAGAGTGCACTGAGGAACAACTCGTGCAGTTAGAGGAAGTTCTCAGAAAATCCCGCCTTCTCCTGTGTCGTCTGCAAGATGAACAATAAAGTCGTCCACGAGTTGAACCAGATGTTGAGGCAGTTGGCGTACTTGGTTGAATTTCAATCCTAGGGGCCTGTGATGGGGCTACACTTGGTTGAGTCTCATATGAGAAATTCCTGTAATAACGAACATCGTCGACATACGACGAAGTTGTATCTGCTGATGATACAGTAGATGACGCAAGTGTTTGTACACTGTCAACTCTTGGAGGAACTGTAGGGTTTCCGACTGCGGGTTGAGCTGGTGGAAGCAAATGGTTGGCTGGCTCAGATATTGGTGAGGTTGGGTCGGTTGGGATACGAATTGTGTAACGATTTCCACCTCGTGGACGCATAAATATGGTGTCATAAACACTGTTCATGTTTATATTCTTCCTATATGTGATCATAATAAATTTTAGATATTGTGCACTTTGAAACTGAGAAATCAAGTTTATTACAAAATCAGACTAGAATTTAAAAATGCTTATTTACAATGTACATGTATGTGTATTTTTGTTCTATTTTACACAATGTAGATGTTTATCTCTGTTTTTATGAAATGTTTCACTTTTTACAAATTTATTTCACCTAGCTATTAATTTTCGAACGCTGAACAGTTTACCTTTTGCAGAAAATTATGCTCCCTATGCAGATAAACAATGACATCACAGCCACAGCAACGGATAAACTTGTCCAGATTATTTCCTGTAATCCTTTTGAATCTGCCGAATCAATTGAGTACATTTATACATTTTTATCATTGCAGAAATTTCAGGTAATATGACGTCCTTACTTTTCAATGAATTACCTGAAGAGGATTTTTCATTAATTCATAAATCATTAATTTCTAGATGATTGATTTCAATTTCAATAAACCTGGTACATAAATGGTTTGGAGCATATAACTAAGTATTTCTATTTATATATTAATTTTTGATATCATACCTTCTTCTTTGCCGTTCATAGGATTCCAGCGATCAGCAGTATGTGGAGTAAAAATAGTTTGATATTCCATTTTAACTTCTCTATATTCAACTGTGGAAACCATTATCGAATATCTTGTATCTGTTAATATAATGTTAATCAAATGTTATTCCATTAATTCTTTTCGATTGCAACTTTAAATCAAACAGCCTATCAAGTGAAACCCGTGGCTTTCAAACTAATAACTTTGAAGCTAAATATTGATAGTTTTTGAGCAAGAAAGAAATAAAATATTAATTAGCACATGGTAAGAAATATTATCGCATATCATGTAAGCTTGTCTCCGTACACGGATTTATATCAGTAACCCTTAGTCATAATGTTTGCCATTCAAGAAAATTAAAGTCCTTTCGGGTGTAGTTTAGAAATGAAGATTGTGTGATGCCTTATAACTGATTTCCTGGAGGTCACGTGACTCCTCTTTCTCTGTTTTCATTTACTCAGCTACATGTAGATCAAAACAATTCTAGGAATGAATTCAATTTTTACATTGACTCCTTATAGACAATTTATCAAATTTTCTTATTGTAGAACTTCACATGTGAAATGTGTACGTATCAGGTATATATCTTATAAATTACTATAATACAGCAAATGGTTCGAACTCAGAGAAAAATGTGGGTGTTTACATCCCATACATCACATCCTTTGGTTTTGTTTTCAAAAAAGTTCCATTGACGTATCTTACGAAAAAGACTTCTAAACCTTTACATTTAGGATCACTTCAGAACTTTTTATATAAGAGGACATATGCATAGTAAGAAGACTTTGCAGTGTTGTAAATATGTAAAAGAATTGGGAAAGTTTCATACAAATTACACACAAATATCATTATCATCATCCCATTTTATGAAAAGGCAACGAAAAATAACAAATTAAGCTATAAAATCAAATAAATATTTCCCAAGAAAAAATCTTCCTGAATTGTATAATTGTATATGGCTTACCATGCTCACAGAGAGCTTTGTGGAATTCATTACATTCTGTGTACATCCTCCGAAATTCTTGTCCATGCTTTCTTGCCATTGTGCACTTGACATCTGCTGAATCTTTGAAAAGAAGCACATGTAATTATTTACTAGTCAAATTGAAATACAGGTATATTGCATTTTAACATACATAATTTGAATTATCAATAATGTCCCTTTAATATTTTTATAAATATATAATCTGACAGTATGAGGAATATTGTAAAGAAGCTTATCACATATCTTATATTCTGTAAATAAATTTGATATTTGATTCGCTCATTCAGACCAGGAACAGAAGCTTCACAGCCTCTTGAAAGGTTGAAGGGTTTATGTGTATTCATACTTTGTAAAGCAATGTTGTTGATGATAAATTCTTCTCCATCTAAAAATCTAGATATTTCGTGCCGTAATTTTGCAATCATAGAATAAGTAATGTTGATAATATAGTTGTTCCATCCACAGTATTTTCGTATTGTCACTTCTCCATTCGCTATGATAAACAAAGGAAATAATTCTTTAGTTGGAAATATTCTAATAAGTTCCATGATATGCTTCTCATGTTATGTCGTCGGTGGATGTTAATGTTTTGGTGTTTTTGCTTTCTTTTTCCTTTTTTTTTTTTTAAAAATTGTGTTAATTTGATTGTTTTAACAATAAAAAAAATAGGTATTTCCAAGACTATTTTTATCAAGCATAAGTGAATAAGATTGTACATGACTGCTTATAAGATTTCTCACCATTTTGACAGAGATAGAGTAGGTCGTGGCTGAGGAACCGTCGGTGTCTTTCTATTACATGAGAACATATTCCATCTTACAAGGAAGAAAGATCCACAGGTCAAATATATAATATTAAACATGCAAAAATCAAGATTTCTTTGTAAGAAGCTAATTGTCCTGCTAATGAATAGTAGAACAACATGACCTTCTCTAAAAATAAAAACGCATACTTCATATGTATTATTTCCACCGACGTTTCATATTTTCTAAAATTACACGACTTCATTTATTCAAAATCAATTTGTTAATTTTTACACAGTATTCATGATTCTAGAATCAATTAGAAGTGATGGGCATGAACAGAGATTAATAATATAATAATTTATATTGAATAAATGCATGACAATTCAAATACTAAACTAATACTCACCTAGGCTGGTTTTCGCTAAACCAGATCCATGGTTTCTACACTATACACAAAATATGCAAATATTTGTCTTTTTCTAAAATTTTCTATTATTTTCATGGAAAATATTTTTTGTGAACTTAGATATACTCCAAGAAGCAGAGCATTGAAAAACGTAACGTTTGCCAATCATAACTTGGTTTACGCTTCTACTGAAGAACTTCACAAGGACGTATATCAATGGAATTATTTCAAAATTATTTTCAATTTTTTGTAACTGGATATAAAAAATTTCCTATTTAAAACAAATTTTCTTTTTAAAATTCATGAAACAACAAACTCAGCCCCAGCCCCCTTGTAAATGGACTGGGAGGGATCTCTTGACAAAGTTGCAAACGAAATGATTTGGTTTTTTATTTCTAAATTAAAAAAAAACCTTACTTTCATGCAAATCCTCCATGTAAATTTGAGGAAAAATCATAGGGGTATTTATTATTATCATTATTATTATTCTTTAAAAGTTTATATTAAGGTTTATAAATCATAAATCATAAATCAGAATAAGTGTCTAACAGCGAAAAAAATCGTCAATATACCAACTTTTCCAATCATTTATCAACTCGCAAAGGAAAAGGTATATTGTATGAGCAATTCATTGATGGCTATGCATTGTGAATTAGAATTCTTTGTCACTCAAGCCTTTTTGAGTCATAGACCTCTTATAAAGTACACTTTAAAGCCAAGCAACAAAATATTTGGACATATGGAATGTAGACCACACAGTGCAGTGCTCAGTCTTATGTAAGACCCGTAGAACATGTGCCCCCTTTTTCATGAGTATAGTATTCTGCTATAGTAAATTTCCTTTTAGATGATGGTTGCCCCCCCCCTCCCCCACTTTTTGATGTAAGGTCGAGCATTGGCAAATTTCAGGGTTTAGACAGTAAATTAGCTTTTTTTTGTGTCAAATGATGTTGGAAAGTTGCCCTCCCCACTTTTGAAACCGTCGCTACGGGCCTGTATAAATACTATTATTCTTGCCTCTACATCCTAGGTCATAAGCAATATTGTCAAGCCAGAAACTCTCGTAGTCCTGCATCGATAGAAGGTTATAGTACACGGTTGTATCGGGTATATCACCCGCCAGATGCCTGTATCCAGAGCCATTAAATTTCTTATGACAAATCTTGTCCGCATCCTGCCACACCATTGGGTGCTGTGTTGCCAACATTTGTGTTTTTCCGAAGGAGACTGACAAAAAAAAAATGTATTTCTTGTTGAATATAATGGGAAAAAGTGTCAATGACATGAAAATTTATGACGATAGAAAGCGAAGTTTAACGGTATGCATGGCTTTTTTAATTGTCCTCTAATGAGTACCATTTTCAACCCTACCAAAACAAAACCTTATAAATGTATCATTTTGTTAAGATCATCATAGCAAAAATACTCACCTATGGGTAGGAGTGTAATTTTAATCCAAAATAGCAATTTCATTTTGTGAACTGTGTAGATATTAACTTAGAATAAAAATAAAAACGACATAAGCTAATGAGGGAAATAGAGTTTATTTGAATAAGGAAGTACAGTGTTAATTGATTTGCCAGTGTGACACATACATATCCTGAGAACCAACACTATTTTTAGAGCAGGAATGAACCTCTTCTTTTTTGAAACGAGAAATTCCTAGGTGAAGAACATAATACATGTAATGATTTTTATGAATAAATAGTGGAATTACCATTTCTACAATATGCATAAACTTGTACATGAACGGGGAGAAAAATGTTTTTATTTGATGTTGGATTAAGGTTTTGGAATTTAAACGTGTTCAAGATCTAGAAATTGGAGCAAATTTGAATAGAATTTGTCGTAAAATAGATAATCTTCTATTTGGAATGTTTTGGGGGCCTTATACTGAAAAAAACCTACCATTTTAAAGGCATTAAATTAACTCTAAAATAAAGACTGTTTTGTATATCCTTCATTGTTGCTTAAGTCAGTTAATTGCCATCAAACGTCACCCTGCATTAAAATATCATTACAATTAATTCTCTGTATTTGATCAACTGTAGATGTATTGTTGTATACTTTGTTTTAATTCGTCGATCAAAACTTTTCGTAATTCTCCCAAGCATATTATGAATGAGTATAACCATTGCTAAGATTCCTGCCTTAAATGGACAATAACTCAAATGAAAATATTTACAATGCTTTTATTGTATTTCATATGTACAAAAGTGTAACAGTTTTGTTGTTATAAACTATTATGTTGCCCCGATCATTAAAATACATGTAATACTAGTATACATCACAATACTCTTAATTTAAGAACAACGTTTTAAAAAAATATATAATTGTCTTCTGCTTAACAGTGTTACTTAAAATCATCGTTAAATGTCGTATTTTCTGTACTACGAAAACAATATAAAGATTTAAGTAGAACCATAACAGTTAATTATGGTATTTCGTTTGCTCTTTAATACCTTTAATTAAAAAAAGACGTAGTGCTCTATTTGAGCTACAGTTTCTTTAGTACTCGAATGATATCATTGACTGTTCTTACTCCAACATTCACCTCAAGAGGTCCATTAAACATCACTAAAGCGTTGTGGAATCCATCAGCTATATGTGAAAGTTCTACATCTTTATTTAGGTGCCTGAGACGCTCCGCAAACATTATTGCATCGTCGCGGATCAAATCATATCCCGCAGCCATAACGTACGTAAACGGGAAATAAGATAGCTCCTCATCTGATGCCATTAAAGGAAAGACGGTCGGGTTCGTTAATTTATCCTTCAATACTCCAAATAAAGTTTCATTGCCAATATCCTCAATCACAGTTTTCTTTAGTTTAAGCTCTTTGGAGCGTATATATTCATCAGGAAGATATTTCTGCTGATCAAACAAAAATTTGTATTCCCCTTGTTTGAATGCAGCAGACGTGTGAAGATTGGATTGGAATGCATCACACAATGAGTGATCTAAATTAAGGTAATTCAAGAAAAAGTTAACCTGCCCGGGATCGTTCATACTTTTGTGTAGATACTCTACATTTTCTGTAAATCCTATTGTTTTCGTGTTCACCGCCTGTAACACAGGTACTAGTAAAAGTAACATTTCAATTTTCCCGCGCATTTTTGGGCGAAGTTCTACTGCTGCAGCAAGGTTCCCGCCAGCACTGTCTCCACCCACTGCAATACGGCCTGCATGAACTCCAAGATCTCTAGCATTGTTGAATACGTATGAAACAATATTTGCTACATCATTCAATCCGGCTGGGTAAGGATTTTGTGGACTTAGACGGTATCTGGAATCGGAATAATGCATTCTTGTACAAGCATCCTGTAAAGTCTTTGGACAAGTTCTATTAACAGTAATAATGATTATAAATTCAAACATTGAAGAAAATTATCAAATAATATATTCCTTCAAGATCTTCAATTACAAATGAAATACGCGAATCTTACTCCACAGATATTACCACGATGTTGGCTTCCTTCGAAATCTTTTGGTTCAGGAGGTCATTGTTATCTAAAATGTTTAAAAAAAATATATGTAAATTATGAGCAATCTTGTGTTCTTAATAATACTGTAGAATTTAAACTTAAAAGACGATTTCAAACTGACCAATAGAGAGAAAGGTCCAGCCTCCTCCATGGATGTATATAAGGACTGGTCTGTTGGATTGCTGTATAGATTTCAGTGGCTCGTAAACACGGACTGGTACTCCATTCATTAACCTGTCCGTTATCTATGCACGCATTGGTACAAAAATTGATGATATGAGTTGGAATCAGTCATAATGTCTTATATTTAGGTGGATTTTTTTTATTTCCCGACAATATAAAAACAACATTCTTTTTAGAGATCTAAAATTAATAGTTTTTAGGGATATGTCCTTTTTGGGCAATGGTTCATATTCTGGGTTTTTTTTCCCCCTAAAATTACATGCTTTTAAAAGTACTTTTTTGTTCTTGAACAGAATATGTTGTTGAAGCATAAAGAGAATTGTATCGGGGTAATAAATTGACACGATAATTATTTTGATATAAAAATCATAATCAAAATATTGTCAATTCTTTAAAATGAGAGACAAAATTATATTCATGTTTAGGACATCACAACGCGTAATCGTTGAATGCAGTGTAGACAGTACTGTCTAGTGTTAAAAATAAATTTTTCAGATTTCTATAATATTTGAATAATGATTGGTGAATTATGATTGTGGAAAGAATATTACTTTACCTTAAGACTTTTGTCCCGGGGATTCCATAGTTTCCCAGAGGTACATACTCTGTAAACATTGCTACCAATACTTTTTAAGAATGGTGAGAAGGGTTTTGTAAATCCAAGAGTTATAAGAACACCCATCTACAAAAATTAAATATACATAAAAAAAAATAAAATATTAATTTAAAAATTATCACTAATGAGTCGCCACACTGTAAATGTTATTAAAAGTATCATATTACATATTCTATTTCATTAATTCGTTAATCGCCCGTGTGGCGCAATGGTTAAAGCGTTTGCTTTGCAGTCGAAGCCTAAGGTTTACGTAAGATCCTTACGTAGCGGGTTCGAATCTACAATGCCACATGGAGACCGGTCCTTCCGACGAGACTGTATAAACGAGGTCCCGTGTCACAATAGGAGCTGACACGAAAAAGATCTCTCACTGC